TTAGGGTTTAGGGTTTAGGGTTTAGGGTTTGGGGTGTACGTACAGCGCTACAACTTCACGCTGGCATTCCCCTCGTTGCGACGGAAGCAGGCAGATAAGAAACAAGGAGATGCAAACATCTCCTTGACGTTTAAATATTCTGTTCTGCTGCAGAGAGAGGTTTGCTTTAGGGTTTAGGGTTTAGGGTTTAGGGTTTGTGTGTTGCATTGTGTGAGTGAAGGTGTTTGTTGGGTGGGGTTGTTTCTACTGTCTCCTTTTGTCTCCTTTTTCTGTCTCCTTTGTCTCTTTATTTTTATTGTTTTGAACTTTTTTGTTTATTTTTGTCTCTTCATTTGCTGCTGCTTAATTCTTTTTCTGTCTCTTTTTCGCCTTCTGTCTTCTGTCTCCTCTCTATTTTTCTCTTCTTTCTTTTTGTTTATCTTTTTATTTTCGTCTCTTACTCGGTGTCTTCGTACGTTGCTTCATCGCATGTATAATATATATATATATATATGTATATATATATACCTATATATATATATATATGTATACATATATATATATATATGTACATATATGTATGTATGTATCGACATGCATATTTATATATATATATATATATACACAAATAATACACATATATATACCTATATATATATATATATTATATACCTATATATATTATATACATATTATATATATTATATATATATTATATATATTATATATATGTTTATGTGTGTTTGTTGAAGGTGTTGGTTCGCGCATCTCCTTCTTTATCCCCGGAGATATTACTTGAGACATTTATATCAATTAGTTTATTAAATGAAGAGAAGTGGTTGTTAACAGTGTTTCATAGAACAGCAAAGGCAGAGAGACAGCTAGGAGTTGAGGAAGTGTCACTTGAAAGATTAATTAGCATGCAACGTCTAAACCCTAATTCTACTATACCTTTATTTGTCTCCGATGTACACCCTAAAGGTCTATTTGAAGCTAATGCATTTAACCTTGTTCAAGCTCTTCAAGAATTACGAACAACCGAATCATAAACCCTAAACCCTAAACCCTAAACCCTAAACCCTAAACCCTAAACCCTAGGGTATTAACTGGAGTATATCGGGGCAGGAAACTGTCTCCTTTTTTTTTGTTTTTTGTGTAGATTAACTTCAGAATAGAAAAAAAACATATTAAACCCTAAACCCTAAACCCTAAACCCTTAAACTGAACACAGAAATATAGGAAAGGCTCTCCTTTCTTTTATTTGCTGTGTATAATAAATAATAATAACGCAAGAGGGTTTCATTTGTTTATTTTTTTTGTTTTAAACAAACAAAAAGAAAACAAACAGAGAGAACTGTCTGCTTTTATTTATACTTCAGAGACAGCTAGGAGTTGAGGAAGTGTCACTTGAAAGATTAATTAGCATGCAACGTCTAAACCCTAATTCTACTATACCTTTATTTGTCTCCGATGTACACCCTAAAGGTCTATTTGAAGCTAATGCATTTAACCTTGTTCAAGCTCTTCAAGAATTACGAACAACCGAATCATAAACCCTAAACCCTAAACCCTAAACCCTAAACCCTAAACCCTAAACCCTAGGGTATTAACTGGAGTATATCGGGGCAGGAAACTGTCTCCTTTTTTTTTGTTTTTTGTGTAGATTAACTTCAGAATAGAAAAAAAACATATTAAACCCTAAACCCTAAACCCTAAACCCTTAAACTGAACACAGAAATATAGGAAAGGCTCTCCTTTCTTTTATTTGCTGTGTATAATAAATAATAATAACGCAAGAGGGTTTCATTTGTTTATTTTTTTTGTTTTAAACAAACAAAAAGAAAACAAACAGAGAGAACTGTCTGCTTTTATTTATACTTCGTCATACTCAGAGTTAAACAAACAAACAAACAAACAAATAATAAGAAACAGAGACACCTGTCTCCTTTATATATTATGTATATATATATATATATATATTTACCCAGCTAAACAAACAACATAGATATTATATTATCTGAGTAGAGACCTGAGGATATATATTAAAGGCTGAGGAGACACTTGAGAAGGGGGTTTCGGGTGTATATCCACCTCAACACTGTCCATACACCCGACCTTCATAAACCCTAAACCCTAAACCCTAATTCGAATTTGTGACATGCAGCAGCAGATGCAGCAGCAGCAGATGCAGCAGCAAGAGCTTGTGCAGCACCAGCAACTGCAGCAAGAGCTTGTGCAGCAACAGCAACTGCAGCAAGAGCTGTCGCAGAAGCAGATGCAGCAGCAGCAGATGCGGCAGCAGCAGATACAACAGCAGCAGATCCAGCAGCAAGAGCTTGTGCAGCACGAGCTGCTGCAGCAGGAGCTGCTGCAACAGGGAAGCTGAATCTGTTTGTAAAGCGTTTCGTTGCCTCTGCAACCCTAAACCCTAAACCCTAAACCCTAGATCCTAAACCCTAGGCCCTAAACCCTAAACCCTAACCACTAAACCCTATGGCCGAAGACTCTCGCGTAGCTCCTGTAGTGTCGTCACTTCAACCAACAAACCGCAGCACCCTAAACCCTAAACCCTAAACCCTAAACCCTAGACCCTAAACCCTAGTAACAACCCAACCTTAAACCCTAAAGTCGAGTACACAAGGACACCGACAACGCAGCAGTATCAGAAGGTGTGGGTAATGATTTCAAATCCTAAACCCTAAACCCTAAACCCTAGACCCTCCGCAGCAGCAGCAGCAGCTGCTGCTGCTGCATGCTGCATGCAGCCGCGATAACTAACCGATGCCTCGCAGCAGCAGTATGCAGTGTGTGAAGCAAATATATATATTTAAAATAAATAAAATAAAAATAAAATATAAATAAATAAATAAAAAGATTTATTACTGCAACAGCACGTGCAACACTCAGCTGTACATACACCGCAGCCGACAGAAGGAGGGGGGAGGAAGGCAGAGGCAGCTGCTTAGGGTTTAGGGTTTGGGGTTTAGGGTTTAAAAGATATACATTCAAAGCCCCTTCTCACACACGCGGCTGCAGCTGCAGCTTCTGCAGCGGCAGCAGCAGCGGCAGCAGCAGCAGCAGCAGCAGCAGCAACAGCAGCAGCAGCAGCGGCTGCAGCAGGAGCAACAGCGGAGGCAGATCGAGGTTGCAGCTGCCGTTTCTGCAGCAGCAGCAACAACAACAGGAGCAGCAGCAGCAGCAGCAGCAACAACAACAGGAGCAGCAGCAGCAGCAGCAGCAGTAGCAGGAGCAGGTCTTTCATTAGGGTTTGGGGTGTACGTACACCTCAGCAGCAGAGCAGAACTTCTAATCCCTCCGTCTGCTGCATGCAATCTGCAGCACGATGACCATCTCAGTAAAATATATCTTCACCGACCCAGCTGCAGCGCTGCAGGTAAGACTATGGTTTAGGGTTTAGAGTTTAGGGTTTAGAGTTTAGGGTTTAGGGTTTAGGGGTTTAGGGTCTAGGGTTTAGGGTTTAGGCTTTGGGGTTTAGGGATTCAGATCTGGAGTTTAGGGTTTTAGGCTTTGGCGTTTAATGCTTAAGGGTTATGGTTTAGGGCCTAGGGTTTAGGGTTTAGGGTTTAGGGTTTAGGGTTTAGGGTTTAGGGTTTAGGGTTTGTGTACAGGCGCGCACGGAGGCGTTTCTAGGGTTCCCTGTGCCGGCATTTTCTTGTCTCCTTTTGCTGCTAGGGTTTTATCTGGTGCTGGCAGCACTTGCTCTCCGCGGTAACCCTAAACCCTAAACCCTAAACCCTAGATTGTGGCTAGTGGTTGTTTCTTACGATATGTTTATGTGCGTTATGTTTTCTTGACTTATTTGTTTGTTTGTTTGTTTGTTATTAATATATTAATAACATTTCTTTATCTCTTTCTCTTCGTTCGCTACTACTACTACTACTGCTGCTGCTGCTGCTGCTGTTGCTGCTTGTGTTGCTGCAGCACTGCTGCTGCTGCTGCAGTCTAGATCTTCTTCTGGTTGGGGTGTACGTACACGCAAACCCTTACTTTTTTGTCTCCTTGGGCCTTCTTCTGCCGGCAAAACGAGCTGTCTCCTCACCCTTAGGAATGGGGCCGCCCCCTTAACTGTCCCCTCTATGAAGGCGAGGCTCCTTTCTAGGGTTTAGGGTTTAGGGTTTAGGATTTAGGGTTTACGTTTCTTGGGGCTAGGGTTTAGGGTGTAAGGTTTTGGGTTTCGAGTTTAGCGTTTAGGGTCTAGGGGTTTTGGGGCTAGGGTTTAGGGTTTAGGGTTTTGGGTTTAGAGTTAAGGGTTTAGGGTTTAAGGGTTTTGGGGCTAGGGTTTAGGGTTTAGGGTTTAGGGGCTGCTTATTGGGACACGGGGTGAACTAGGGTTTAGGGTGTCGGCTGTAGCGAAGCGTAGGGTTTAGAGTTGAGGGTTTAGGGTTTAGGGTTTAGGGTTTGCGCGTGCGAGTGCAGGAAAACCGTTGCAGCATTCCTTTGAAGGCTATAGCAGGGGCTGCCGGATCAGCAGCAGCAGCAGCAGAGCCAGCAGCAGCAGCAGCAGCAGTAGAAGCAGAAGCAGCAGCAGCAGCAGCAGCAGGCTGCAGCTTTCCTACCTTAACTACAAGCGAACTAGAGACAAAGATTACTGTCGTTGACGCCCCAGGGCACCCCCGCTTGAGAGCTGCAGCATTTGCTGCTGCTGCTGCTGCATCTCATATCTTATTCTTTGTTGATGCTGCTGATAAACCCTCTATTAAAGTAGCAGCAGAGTGCGTCGAGGGTTTAGGGTTTAGGGTTTAGGGTTTAGGGTTGGAGGCTTCCCTACTATTAACACGCAGCAATACACTGCGGATATTACAACCCAAAAATAAACACCGGCAACTCCATCTGCACGCTTTAGGGTTTAGGGTTTAGGGTTTAGGGTTGAGGGTTTAGGGTTTGCGTTCAGGTTTCTGTTTGAGTTGTTCTGCAACCCCACTATTCAGGAGGCGCGGCCCCCTTTGTTGTTAGTAGTAAATAAAACAGACAAACCCGAGGCTAGAGGGCAGCAGGCGGTTATTGAGGACCTGGAAAGGGAGATGTGCGCAAGGGTTTAGGGTTTAGGGTTTAGGGTTTGGGGTGTCTACGTTGTCTCCCTGTCTTTGAGTTGTTTGTGTTTGCGGCTCTCGGTATTGCCTTCCTGCGCTCTCTGAACGGGTTTGAGGGTTTAGTGTCGCCTCTTAGGGTCTCCGCTTAGGGTTTAGGGTTTAGGGTTTAGGTGCGTGTTGCTGTGGCGCAGCGAGCGCTGCCGCGTCTGTCGCCAGGCTTCACAAGACCCCGAAGATTCTGCTGTCTCCTTTGTAGGCGTAGAGGGGCAGAGGTTTGTCTTACAAGATTCTCCTTGTCCCCTGGTGCGCTCGTATGCTAGGGTTTAGGGTTTAGGGTTTAGGGTTTAGGGTTTGTGGGGTAGTAGTAAGGCTGGAGGGAGGGGCGTCGCCGGGGGTTTAGGGTTTGGGGTTTAGACGCCACTCCTCCTTTCTAGAGTGTCTCTTTCTTGATTCGTTTGTATTGCGCTCGTGTTAGGGTTTAGGGTTTAGGGTTTAGGGTTTAGGGTCTAGGTGTGCTAAGGTCTGATTGTTTTCTTTTTTGTTGTTGGGGGTTGCTTTGGGGTGTAGCATGCGTCAGGGTTAGGAGTTTGTTTGCGTATATAACTGTCTCCTTTTGTGTGTCTCTCTGTCTCCTTTTGTGTGTCTCTCTGTCTCCTTTGGGGTGTATATCTGTCTCCTTTGGGGTGTATATCTGTCTCCTTTCGTGTGTCTCTGTGTCTCTGTGTCTCCTTATGCTGCTGCAGTCTGTCTGTTCTGCTGCTGTTACTGCGGGGGCCCTTTACCCTCTTCGCAGTTTTATTTTAAATGAAGCAACACTGCATTCAGGGGGCTCTCAGCGGAAGAACAAAACCCTCTAGACAAACCCTAAACCCTAAACCCTAAACCCTTCGTGTTGAGTATTACACAGTAGAGGGGCGTGGGGGGGGCCTCGTCGGGCTCTTAAGAGAATCTTTGCTTGCACATTATCGCTTATAAAAGCTTAAAGAAGGGTCCCCTTCGGGTTTATTTAGGGTTTAGGGTTTAGGGTTTAGGGTTTAGGACTTCCACCTGTCTCCTTTACTGCCCCCTATCTCCTTTTCGGGCTCCCAGGGGGCCCCTATGGGCCCCCCCCTCCCCCCTTACAAAAGGGGGGGCCCCTTAGAGGTGTAGGGGGGCCCCTTAGAGGAGTAGGGGGGCCCCTTAGAGGATTGGTGGCCTCATAGGGGAATGGGGGCCCCCCAGAACAGTGGGGGGCCCCGTCTACTAACGGGGGGGGGCCCCTAGGGGAGTGGGGGGCCCCTAGGGGAGTGGGGGGCCCCTAGAGAAGTGGGGGGCCCCCTGAAGGAATGGGGGGCCCCCTAGGGGCGTCTGGGGCCCCTATTGATGTGGGGGGCCCTCTGAAGGAATGGGGGGGCCCCTAGGATAGTGAGGGGCCCCCTGGGGGAATGGGGGGGCCCTTAGAGGAGTGGGGGGCCCCCCAGGGGAGTAGAGGGGGGGGCCCCTGAAGGACTGAGGAAGATTTTCTTTGTTGCTTCTCTTTGAGCCCTCGTTGTGCTCTTGTTAAGGCATTCGCAACTAAGGAGGGTTTAGGGTTTAGGGTTTAGGGTTTGGAAGGAAGGTCTAGGGTTTAGGGTTTGAGGGGCTGGACTCTAGTTCTGGGTATGAAAGAGGGGTCTAGGGTTTAGGGTTTGAATTAGGGTTTAGGGTTTGAGGGGTTGAACTAGAGTTTAGGGTTTGAACTAGGGTTTAGGGTTTGAACTAGGGTTTAGGGTTTAGGGTTTGTGCTCTATGTAGACAAAGCAAGAGACAAATAAAGGGAGGAGACAGAAGACACAAAAGCAGAGAAAAGGAGACAAACAAAGACAAAAAAGGAGACAGAGACAGCAAAAGGGAGACAGCAATAAAAGGAGACAGACAGTATTAAAAGGAGACAGTATTAAAAGGAGACAGTATTAAAAGAAGACAGCAATAAAAGGAGACAGCAATAAAAGGAGACAGTAAGAAAAGGAAACCTAAGAGAGGAGACAGCAATAAAAGGAGACAGCAATAGGAGGAGACAGCAATAAAAGGAGACAGCAATAGGAGGAGACAGCAATAAAAGGAAACAGTATTAAAAGGAGACAGCAAAAGAGAGACAGCAATAAAGGGAGACAGACAACAATAAAAGGAGACAGCAATAAAAGGAGACAGTATTAAAAGGAGACGGAGACAGCAAAGGAGACAGCAATAAAAAGGAGACAGACAGCACTAAAAGGAGACAGAGATAAAAGGAGACAGCAATAAAAGGATACGAAAAGATAAAAAGTAAAGAAACAAAAAAAAGGAGACAGATTAATCAGTCTTGCTTCTATTATCGTAATGCCGCTGTCTGCTGCTGCTGTTTGTTTTTATTGTCTCCTTTTGCTGCTGTCTTGTGGAGAAGACACTGCTGATGCAGAAGCCTAGGCTTCCGAGGAGACAGCAGCAGCAGCCTGCTGCAGCAGCAGCAGAGACAGTTTCTGTTTCTAAGAGAGGAGACAGCAGCAGCTGTGCTGCTGTCTTAGTAAAACCCGCTACGCAGCAAGCTAAAGGAGACAGTCTCCTTAAGCATCTGTACGTACACACCGGAAGCAGAGCAGCAAGGCTGCCACTCAGCAGCAGCAGCAGCACCAAATCCACAGTCTGCTGCTGCTCTTGCTGCTGCGCCTGCGGCTGCTGCTGCTGCTGCTGCAGCCGCTGCAGCAGCAGCACAGGCTCGCGACTGAATGCAGCAAGAACAAACAGCAGCAAAGCACCGACAGCAGCAACACGCAGCGCTAATATCACCTCCAGCTTCTCCTGAATCTCCCTTGTGTCCTCTGTGCTGCTGCTGCTGCTGCTGCTGCTGCTGCTGCTGTGTTGCTGCTGCTGCTGCTGTGCTGCTGCTTCTGCTTCTGCTGCACTTGCTGTTGCTTGGGTAGGAGGTGTTTGCGCTGCTGCTGCTTGTGCTTCTGCTGCTGCTGGTAGTGGGGCAGCAGTTCTTGTAGCCGCCGCCGCAGCAGCAGCAGCTGCAGCTGCAGCAGCAGCAGCTGCAGCTGCTGCTGCTGCTGCTGTAGCAGCTCCTGCTTGTTTGTGGAGGAGATCCTTAGCGAGGTGCATATACACCGCACCAGCAGCAGAAGCAGCAACACCGAGCATCGCTGCATGCATATCAAGACCCCTACCGTCTGCTGCAGCAACAGCAACACCAGCAGCAACAGCAACAGCAGAAATAATACGCCAGTGGCCGACTTGCTGCGCTTTTTGCTTCATATTGTCTCCTTTTGTCTTTATTCGATGCAGCAGATATAGACGGCTACCCTCAAGTGCTGCTGCTGCTGTTGCTGCTGCTGCTGCTGCTGCTGATGCCGGCGTAGCCGCTGTCCTCGCCTTTGAGGGTTCTGCTGAGGTATCTGCTGCTGCTTCTGTATCTGCTGTTGCTGGTGTTGCTGCTTGTATGTCTGTTGCTGCTGCTTCTTCTGTGTGCGGTGCTGCTGCTGCTGCTTCTTTGTCAGTTGCTGCAGCTGTTGCTGTTGCGTCTGTGTCTGGTGCTGCTGCTGCTGCTGCTGCTGCTGAGGAGGGCAAAACACTTAATATCTCTAGCAGCAAAGAGACAGGGACAGCAGAGCAGCGAGCAATCTGATAAGAAGAAAGTGAGGAGACAGCTAAGCAGCTATTGCTTAGCCACAGCATCAGCACATATGCAGCAGCTAGCTGCAGCTGCTGCAGAAAGGAGACCCTACTCCATTTGTCTCCTCCTGTATGCACAGGCTCTACAGGCTGCTGCTGCTGCTGTTGCTGCTGCAGCTGCTGCTGCTGTTGCTGCTGCTGGTGTTTTTGTAGCTCTTGCTTTAGCTGCAGTTGCTCTATCTGTTGCTTCTGGTGCTTCTGTTGCAGCTGCAGCTGCTGCTGCTGCTGCTGCTGCTGCTGCTGCTGCTGTCTCCTTCTGAATGGTATGCAAGCTGCAAGGAGACAGAGACATAAAATAAGCTGCTGCAGCAAGCAGCAAGAGAGCGGAAGGTTCTTTGCTGCTCCAGAGAAGATGTGTTTGTTACAGAGAGAGAGTAGAGGCGATATAAAAAAATAAATAAATAAATAAGTTAAAGATATGAGAAGCTCTTGATGGTTATCGAAGTGTCTCCTTAATGCAGATATAGCAGCAGCAAACGGCAGCAGCAAACTGCTATCTGCAGACAGAGACAATATTAAAGACATATAATAACACCCTTTAGTTTGCTGCGGTATCTGCTCTCTTGTTGCTGCTGCTGCTGCAGCAGGAAATCTGTCTCCTTGCAGCAGCATGAGAGGAGCATCAACAGCACCAAAAGAGAAAAACCAGCAGAAGGAGCGCAGCAAAGATGATCCAGACTAAGTAATGCTGCTGTTGCTGCTGCCGCTGCTGCTGCTGTTGTTGCTGCTGCTGCCGCTGCTGCTGCTGCTGCTGCTGCTGCTGTAGCAGCTGCTGCTGTAGCAGCAAAAGCAGAAGCAGAAGGTGCTGCTGCAGCTGCAGCAGGCGGAGTTTCAGCGACGCTCCGCCAGGAGCAAATGGGCAGCAGCAGCAGCAACAGCAGCAGCAGCAGCAGCAACAGCAGCAGCAACGGCAGCTACGGCTGCTGCTGCACACACCCGAACGGAAATATGTCTTCTATTGTTTTTAAAATAATAAAAATTAATTAACAAACCAATAAAACGGGCAGCAGCAGCTGCTGCTGCTGCTGTTGCTGCTGCTGCTGCTGCTGCTGTAACTGCAGCAGCTGCGCAGGCGGCCGAGAGAGCGACAGCAGCAGAAAGCCGAAAGTTAATTACAAAAAGAATTTATATAAATTTAATCTAAAGTCTAAAGCGTAAAGACAAAACACAAAAAAATTAGGGTTTAGGGTCTAGGGTTTAGGGTTTAGGGTTTAGGGTTTAGGGTTTAGGGTTTAGGGTTTAGGGTTTGGGACACCTCTTCCGACCGTCCGCTGACCACCGCGCCCAAAGGTGGTGCAAATTTTCTTTTTCGTCTTTTGTTTTTTAATTTGTTTATTTTTAAAATAAAATAAACAATATTAATTTTGTTAATGGATAAGTAACTAAAGAGAAACGCTTTTGCTGCTGCTGCGGGTCGCTTCACCTAACACCAGCAGCAGCAGCAGCAGCAGCAGCAGCAGCAGCAGCAGCAGCAGCAGCAGCAGCAGCAGCAGCAGGAAACGGCTTCTCGCCTCGGCCATGTCGGTGGCGGGGTGTATATGCAGTTGCTGTCTTTGTTGCTCTGCATGATAAACCCTGAAGTATATATTTATATAATTATATAATTATATTTATATTTATATTATTTATTATAGAGGAGACAAAAAGATATATTTATGTGCACTCAAATAGAGAGAAGCAAACCTCTTTAACAGACGACGAAGACAGCGCAGCAGTTTGTCTCTTCTTTGCATGTGTGGGGCCCCAGGTGTCTGTTTGTCTCCTCAAGTGTCTCCTTTCTCATAAACTGTCTCCTTCCTTCTCTTAAACTGTCTCCTCAGGTGTCTCCTTTCTCTTAAACTGTCTCCTCAGGCGTCTCCGTTTGTTTTTGTGTTTCTCCAGGTGTCTCCTCATCTCCTAAATATAATAATAAGAAATAAATTTGTTTATTGTCTCTATACGTATACTACAGCTAAACATAACACAATTTCTTCTCAAGTGTCTCCTCAGGTGTCTCCCCTCAGGTGTCTCCTCAGGTGTCTCCTTTCAAGCGTCCCCCTAGCCGTCACCAGATGTTTATCTTCAAGCTTCTTGTTTAATGCCTCTTACGTTGGGTTATCTCTTCTGTTTCTTTTATTGCCTTTCTTAGGGTCTCTATTTCCTAAGTGTCTCCTCAGGTGTCTCCTCCCAACTGTCTCCTCAGCTGTCCCCTCTCAGGTGTCTCCTCAAGTTTTCCTTGAGTTGTCTGTCTCCCCACTGTTCTTCCTTTTGTGTCTGTCTCACTCTAAGTGTCTCCTCCAGACACTCCGGCGTCTCCCCACTCAAGTGTCTCTAAACGTCTTTTTAAGTGTCTCCACCGAGACACCTCAACGTAAGTGTCTCCTCTACGCCTTTGTCTTCTCAAGGCCTTTCTATATATATATATATATATATGCACTCTGTATATATATATATATATATATATATATATATATATCAATTTATTTACTGTCTCCTTTAGGCATTTAAGTGTCCCCTTTAGGCATTTAAGTGTCTCCTTAAGGCATTGAAGGGCCTCCCCCAATGTCTACCCGAGTGTCGCTCAGGTGTCTCCTTGAGTGTCTCCTCAGGTCTTCTCTAGTGTCTCCTCAAGTGTCTCTAAAGAGTCTCCAGCGGTGTACATACACCCCAACAGAGCCCTAACCCTGAGGAGACACCTGGGAAGGGGCGGTGCCTCCTTAGCTGTCTCCCGTGTTATTTCAGCACCTACCAGAGACAGACTATCTCTATTTGAGTGTCTCCTTCTGTCTCTATCTCTATTTAAGTGTCTCCCCCTGTCTGTCACTGTTTCTATCTGTCTCCTTCTGTCTGTCTCCGTCTTGCTTCACGTGTCTCCCTGCGTCTCTGTCTATATTTAAGTGTCTCCTTCTGTCTTCGTCTTTACTTAAGTGTCTCCTTCTGTCTTTGTCTTTACTTAAGTGTCTCCTTCTGTCTGCAGCTGGCTGTCTGCATTATAACAATTCAAACCGACAGTCCCTCCGTAGAGAACAAAAAATGCGGTTTAGGGTTCGGGGCTCGCACCCTAAACCCTAAACCCTAAACCCTAAACCCTAAACCCTAAACCCTCAGCGCTTAGACCACTGTCTCTGTTTACGCGCCTTCATTCTTCCGGGCATCTTCGGCATCCGCTGCCGCGTGTCCTCGTACAACATCATTGCTGCAACAAAGCAAACCCCAAACCCTAAACCCTAAACCCTAAACCCTCCCTGTGCAAGCCTAGCGTGTTTACGACCCCTTCTCTCTAGGCTTAAACCCTAAATCCTCCTCCCTGTCCAAACCCTAAACCCTGAACCCTAAACCCTAAACCCTAAACCCCCGAAATAAAGTCATACCTTCCTGCAGCTCTGGCTGGCAGTCTTCACAAGCCTCAACAAGGGCCCTAGCCACTGCCAGGCGTGCAGCACCAGCTTGCCCTGAGGGGCCCCCCCCTCTTACATGGATATCTACATCGAATAAACCTGCAGCACCTGCTACCTGCAGCGGCTGCAGCACCTCAAGGCGACTGGATATATATGCCCAACGGGTGTACACCTCCTCACGACCGCACACACGCACCTGCCCCACACATACACACACACACACACACATACACACGATCCTACTATGAAGACACACGATCCCACAACAAAAAAGACACGATCCCATAGCTAAAAGACACGATCCCACTATGAAAACACACGATCCCACAACAAACAAACCATCCCACAACAAAAAGAGACGATCCCACAACAAAAATAGACGATCCCATAACAAGAGCACACGATCCCACAACAAGCAAACCATTCCACAGAAACCTGACACGATCCCACAACCAAATATGGCGATCCCACTACAAAGACATGCGATCCCACTACTTAATGCACGATCCCACAACTAAAAAACACGATCCCACATAAACAAATACAACCCCACACTAAACCCGCAAGACCCCACAGCAATACGAGACGCTCCCGCTCCCTCTAACAAACACTGTCCCCACTCCCAAATACGACCCCAGAGACCTCCCCGCCACGATCCCAAGCCTCACGAACGGCAACACGACACCCCACACACGATCCCAGGCGGGGGACACACGATCCCAGACAAGAACACACGATCCCAAGCACCTGACAGAGGACCCCACGCAGCGGGACAGATGATCCGACTCGATCGACCCCCTAACGGCACAGGAAACCCTAAACCCTAAACCCTAACCTGTCCAGTGCCTCTAGTAAGGACAGCCACTGCCGCAGCCCTTTTTCGTGTTCCTCTTCCTTCTGCTCTACAGAGCCAAACGCGTCCCCCGCTTTCGAAAGTCTGCACATCAAACCCTAAACCCTAAACCCTAAACCCTAAACCCTAAACCCTCGACCCCGGGTGTGCAGAGGAACCTACCGAGCTTGGGGTTTAGAACCAACGCGTGAGGGTTTAGGGTGTAGACAGCAGGGTTTAGCTAGGGTTTAGACAGAGGCAGGGAGGGCTACAGGTTTGTTCATGAGGATTAGGGTTTGTGGAGGAGGGTTTAGGGTTTAGCATGCCTTGCGCTTTTCCGGGTCGAAGCTATTGTGGACGTGGGCCCTGAACGCCTCGTCTGCTGCTGCTGCTGCTGCTGCATCAGATGAGGCGTCTGTCTCTGCAGAAGAGAAGAGACAAAATAAGGGTTTAGGGTTTAGCGGTGGCGAAGAGAGAAAGGAGACAGCTGAGGCTTAGCTTACCCTCTTTTTCTGCTGTCTCTTCTTCTTGCAAATCATCTGCTAGAGTTGTGGGGTCCTCGGGATCGTCCGATCCCAGCGAACTAAACACGTTCTCCAGCAAGAAGGGAGACGCATCCTGCGGTGTACATACACCTCAGCAAACCAAACACTTAGGCCCTTCCCTCTCCGCATGCAGCAGCAGCAGCACTAACTGCAGCACCAACTGAAGCAGCAGAGCCAGCAGCAGCAAGTCCAGCACCAGCAGCAAGCGCAGCAGAAGCAACAGTAGCCGGAAGTGCAACAGCAACAACACCAAGTGCAGCAGCAGCAGCAGCAGGTGCAGCAGCAGCAGCAGCAAGTGTAGCAGCAGCAAGTGCAGCAGCAGCAACACCAAGTGCAGCAGCAGCAGCAAGTGCAGCAGCAGCAGCAGCAAGTGTAGCAGCAGCAACACCAAGTGCAGCAGCAGCAGCAAGTGTAGCAGCAGCAACACCAAGTGCAGCAGCAGCAGCAAGTGCAGCAGCAGCAACACCAAGTGCAGCAGCAGCAGCAGCGCGTTACTGAGGAGAATGAGGGGGAGGTCAGTATAATCTTCTGCAGTTCTTTTACTGTGTAGTAGCCTCCTTCTTTAGCTAAGTATAGTGCCTAAGAATAAAAACCTTTAAAACACAAAAGCAAACTCTGCTGCTTCTCCAGCAGCAGCAGCAACAGCAGTGCTAGTAGCAGCAGCAGCAGCGGTAGGAGTAGTACCGGCAGCAGCAGCAGCAGCAGGGAGATCGAAGGCAGCCACTTTACAGCAGCAGCAAGAGGAGACAGACGAACCTCAGAGAGAGACAAAGGGGGTACACTTTGCTGCTGCTGCTGCTGCTGTGGTTGCTGCTGCTGCTGCTGCTGCTGCTGCTGCTCCGATTGCTGCTGCTGCTGCAGTGGAGGGACTGGGCGGCGAGAGAACCGGCTAGCCGGTGCCGCTGCAGTTGTTGCTGTTGCATTTGCTGCTGCTGCTGCTGCTGCTGCTGGTGAGGGTTGCGGTGTGTGCCTAGTGAAGCGGCTGAAGGTGCTGAAGCACCTTCTCTGCTGCTGCTGGTGCTGCTGCTGCAGCTGCTGCAGCAGTGCTTGCTTCTGCTGCAGCCATGCTGTTCGGCAGCAGCAACAAGTAGCAGCAGCAGCAAAAAGATACTGCGGCTTTAGAGCAGCAGCAGAGGCGAGGCGCTGTGCTGGGGCTAGCAGTGACATCGCATGATGAAGACAAGCCCTAAACCCTAAACCCTAAACCCTAAACCCTATACGGTAGACCCTAAACGGCCGGGCAGCCAATGCGGCGGCAGCATTACAGTTAAGGGTTTAGGGTTTAGGGTTTAGGGTTTAGGGTTTAGCGATTATCATCTCCCCGATAATAATAAATTGAATAAACAAAGAATAAACTAAAAAAACAGAAAAAGCAAATAACGCTAAAGGTATGTCTTACAGCAGCAGCAGCAGCAGCAGCAGCAGCAACACGAGCAGCAGCAGCAGCAGCAGCAGCAGCAGCAGCAGCAGCACGAGTATTATTTGGTGTCTTTAAGGTTTCATTGTGTATAGAGGGGGCAGCAGCAGCAGCGAAGACAGGAGTAGCAGGGTTTTAATAGATAGTTTATATTTGGGGTGTATAGGGAGGTGCACGATTGGCCAAATAATAATATAAAATATAAAAATAAATATATGTTTAGGGTTTTAAAATAAAAAAGACAAGAAAAAAAGTTTGTTTGTTTGGTGTGGGGGGGTGCGATTGCATTGCTGGGTCTGAAGCAGCAGCAGCAGCAGCAGCAGCAGCAGCTGCAGCAGCGGCTGCTGCTGCTGCTGCTCCCCCCCTCCCCACGCGTGCGTGGGGGCTGCTGCTGCACAGCAGCAGGAAAGGTTGCGTTGTAAAGCATTTTATTTTCATTGCTTTTGTTTGTTTGTTAAGATAAGTATATCTTCTGTATTTTTTTATTGCTGCAGCGTGAATTGCTGCTGTTGAAGAATATTATTGCTTCTTCTTTTGCTGCTGCTGCTGCTGCTGCTGCTATAATAACTCTATCAAGATGGGAAAGGAGAAGACGCATATTAACTTGGTTGTTATTGGCCATGTAGACAGCGGCAAGTCTACAACAACAGGACATTTAATTTATAAGTTAGGGGGTATTGATAAGAGAACGATCGAGAAGTTTGAGAAGGAGAGCAGCGAGATGGGCAAGGCTTCGTTTAAATATGCATGGGTGTTAGATAAGCTGAAGGCAGAAAGAGAGAGAGGTATTACTATAGACATTGCATTGTGGCAGTTTGAAACACCTACCTTTCATTATACTGTTATTGATGCTCCGGGTCATAGAGACTTTATTAAGAATATGATTACAGGGACATCTCAGGCTGATGTTGCACTCCTCGTTGTTCCTGCTGATCAAGGTGGCTTTGAAGGTGCTTTCTCAAAAGAAGGTTAGTTCTATTCTTCTTTTCATCTTCTTTACTTTATTCGACGCATTTAGACCTTTCTTTTGACTCCCTATACACCCTATTCACGAAACCCCACACACCCCACACTTCAGGTGTATAGGCACCTCGCGACGCGCAGTATGATCTACTTCATATAAATATCTATAATGTAAATATATGTTTATTTATCGTTTTCTTTTTCTTTTTTATTTATTATTATGCGTTTATTGTGCTGTGCATTGACCTCCTAGCTGCTGTCTTCATCTATAACTGCTGCTGCATTCATTAGCAGCAAGAACAGCAGCAAGATGACGATAGGGGTATCATTATGTTTGTTGTTTTTTTGCGGTTTTGTTTGTCTTCAGGTCAGACCCGTGAACACGCATTGCTTGCGTTTACACTGGGTGTGAAGCAGATGATCGTAGGAATTAACAAGATGGATGCAACAACACCAGAGAAGTACAGCGAAAGCCGCTTCAACGAAATTCAAGCTGAGGTGTCTCGGTACCTCAAGACTGTGGGGTACAACCCAGAGAAGGTACCCTTCGTTCCTATCTCCGGCTTCATGGGTGATAACATGGTCGAGAAGAGCACAAACATGCCGTGGTACAAGGGCAAGACATTAGTAGAAGCATTAGATAGTGTAGAGCCTCCTAAGAGACCGAGCGACAAGCCTTTACGTCTGCCTCTTCAAGATGTATATAAGATTGGGGGTATCGGTACTGTACCTGTAGGGAGAGTAGAGACAGGTATATTGAAGCCCGGTATGGTCGTAACATTCGCACCGACAGGTCTTCAGACTGAAGTAAAGTCTGTTGAGATGCATCATACACAGTTAGAACAAGCAGTACCTGGAGATAATGTCGGGTTTAATGTTAAGAACGTCTCTGTTAAGGATGTTAAGAGAGGACATGTTGCCTCTGATTCAAAGAACGATCCGGCTAAGGGGGCAGCTAGCTTTCAAGCACAAGTTATTGTTCTTCATCACCCTGGCCAGATTAACCCTGGATATACACCTGTATTAGATTGTCATACAGCACACATATCGTGCAAGTTCGCAGAACTAGAGAAGAGATTAGACAGACGAAGCGGTAAGGCTCTTGAAGACAACCCTAAATTTATTAAGTCCGGCGATGCTGCTATTGTTAAGATGGAGCCCTCTAAGCCGATGTGTGTCGAGTCCTTTATTGAATATCCGCCTCTAGGTAGATTTGCTGTTCGCGATATGAAGCAAACAATTGCTGTCGGTGTTATTAAGGCTGTTGAGAAGAAAGAAGCAGGAGGTAAAGTAACTAAGAGTGCTCAGAAGGCTGCAGGCAAGAAGTAAATAAATAAATTAATATATTATTATTATGTTTTCTTCAGCATTAACATTATTCAAGAAGAAGCAATACTATTATTATATTGATGTTCTTACAATACGAAGATATACATATACATATATATATTAACCCCGAACAAATACTCATCTAACTAAATATATATATAATATATATTTATAAGCAAGCATTTGTTTGCTGCTGATTATTATTGCTTATCTGCAACAGCAGCAACAACAACAGCAGCAGAAGCAGCAGCAAATATTTGATATTTGCTGCTGCTGCTGCTGCACAAATATATTTCTTTAAACAACAAAAACTAAACATACAACTAAGCAGCAAATGTCTTGCTAATTTTAAGGGGTGCTGAGTTTATATCTTTTTTATTTTATTTTATTATTTGCTTTTTATTTATTTGTTTTGTTTCGCTATTATTTTTATCTTCTTGTTTTTATCTTCACCCTTTCGGTGTTATGTTTTGCTGTCTTTGTCTTTAGTCTTTTGCTTATTTATTTATTTTATTTATTTTTACCTTCTTCTCTGTTTTTCTTTCGTTTTGCTCTTATTTGTTTTTGTGTAGTGGTTGAATATATTAATTAGTTTTTACTCGCACTGCCTTAGGCGAGTCTATATATACATATAAAATATATCATTATATATAGTATATATACATATGTATAATATATATATATATATATATATATCTGCATTTATTATCTAGAGTAGTACTTCGGTAGTTCTTTTAAGTAATTAGGCTCCAGCAACAATAATTGTATTTGAAGTATATATATAGATATATATATATATACATATATAATATATATATAGATAAATATATATATATATATATATATCTATATATATGTATATAGATGTTTAAAGATATTTAGAAGCGTAATTGAATTGTCTGTCTATAAAAGCAGAGTTCTTCGCTGAGTGTAATTATACAACAGAGACAAAAATATCTGCAACTTAAAAATAAATTTAAGTAAACAAATATAAAATTAATATATAAAAATAGGTTTGTGCTGTCTTGTGGGGTTTATTTATTTTATTTTACAGTGTCTTCGATACTTTTAATTCGCTTCACCCTATTCTTCTAGATTATATATATATATATATATATATATATAATATGTTTCAATATAAGCTACATCTATATATAAATAAGATGTATACATATATACATATATATATATATATATATGGATAATATATGATTTGTAGAGGCTACAACTGCATACTCTATTTATATATATATACATATACATA